GGGAGAGGTTGAGAGTCATCAAGGGATCACGTCCGGGGTCACCAATTATCGTATTAAAAAATGACGTGTTCAAAATCCCTTATAAAGATGACCAAGATTCAGAAAGTTAAATTCAAAAAGGTTTATTTCCCTAATACAAAAAAGAATCTAAAACAGCTGTCCGGACCAAAAGTAACTATCCCTTATTCTCTATATAAAGTATAAAAGTATAACTTTGGGTGGGCGCTCCACGCCAAGTCACACTACTGTCCCTGGTCCGTTAAAAAACTCTAACTCCACACATTCAAGCTATTCACTATAAGTAAATGTGCAGGAAGAAGGGGCGTGATATCAGGCAGCTTCCGGTCCCGTGATCCGCCTTCACACCATCTGGTTTCCTCGTCTCCATTCCGCACCTAAACAGAATCATTCACACACACTACCCCTCCCCAATCTATAGATTTTATTGCTTATAGTCTCCAGGCAGCTGTCACCGGTCTGAGATCCATCTCTTGTCTAAACAACTCCCCTAATTAGTCTCCACAGCCCGCTTTCCTAAAGAACAAACCTATTGCAGTACAAAACACATCACACTAATTAACCTAATACCTAAGTACATGAAATCACCTAAAATATGAAGTAAATATATGTTAAGAAAGGTTATATGTATTATCATATCGACTAATGAGTAGACTAGGAGACTCTAGTCATGTCAACCTATTCCTGATTGAGTGAGGTGAAGAATGCAGAAGTCAGGACTAGGGGACAAATCCAAACAGCAGAAACCATCTGTTGTTTAGTTGATCCCACAAGAAGACACCTAAAATATATAAAAAGGCCTGGCCTCCCACCCAGAGGTCGATAGGTCATAAAACACATGGTTTTAGTGTGTCACGTATTTATAAATACAACACACGTCAATTGCGTTTCCCGCTATTTTCACGTTCCCAGATGTCTCTTGTTTCAAATATGTAAGGCTTGAGGCAATATTTTATCGAGCCAGCAGATGGCAGCATTGCTCTATGAGAGGTTTGAAAACAGCTAGATGCACATGTGCCTCTTTTTTCACAGCTTTCTGGTGATTTCAATAAAACGTACCTCTACTCCACTGGGGATTACAGGGGAACGAAACAAGCTAGAAACAAAATTATTTTTGCTGATGAAAGTAAACAGTCCATTCTTTCCGAATCTGGTTTAGGATTTCAGATAGTCATAGTACACAATATTCTGTGGTTCAATATTCAATATGGGAGTACCTGTTCTGAAATGGGCTGGCAGTCAATGAGTTAACGCATGTCCGAATGACCCGCCCATTTATAATAATATCACTCAGAATGCCGCGGACACGTGCGTGTGTGTGATGGTGACAGCGGTAACGTGGTCATATAATACATGCATATATATACACGCACAGGGGCAACATTCTCTGATGTTGTGTGACACACGGAGGAGGAGACACGCTGAAATGCAACCAAACTCGCAAAATTAAAGCTGGGGTACCTACATTTTCCCTTTCATTAACAGCTCTTGTTGGTTGTACCCAAAAGTAGAAGGTTGTGAGCAAGTCAAACAGATTTAAGTACATTTGGTATGAATAACAATGTGTCATTACATTTGATAATCTAATTTAACTTCAATTGGATTGGATTTGAAATAGAATGTTAAAAAATGCGATTAATCGTGAGTTAACTCATCATTACTATGCGATTAATCAACTAAAAAAAATGTATCGTTTGACAGCCCTAATATATATATATTTATATAATAGTTGGTAGGGCGCAGGACTGGGACCTGGGAGGCCAGGGTTCGAATCCCACCGGGAGCACATTAACACCAACATCCAGTGTGGGTCCTTGGGCAAGACCCTTAATGCTACTGCCTAACTCATAACCATGAAGGTACAAATAAGCAATGAGATGCCGGCTCAGACGTCGCCCGGCTAAACAAGGTCTGCGTCAGGTGCTGGGGAACCAGAGCACCTTGATGAAAAGTGGAACAAGGCGAAAGTGGCCGAGATCCGATAACAGGGCTCTGTTGGAATGCTACTACTCAAGTAACCCTGGCCAAAGAGGTTACATGCAGAGAATGTGGGCTGAATGGTTACTTCGAAACCCACAGTCACAATTGACCCCGAAACAATTGGTAGCTCAATGCTCCAACATCCACAAACGGCAACTGCTATCACAGCTTGAGATACAACACATGTATGATGCCACAGTTGCTGAGGTCAGAGGGGAGATCCCACCAACTGCAACTCCCCAACCAGATATTGGGTACATAGCTCCAATGGAACCGATAACGCTAAACGAGGCAGCGACAGACCTGAAAGCTAAGATCATGGCTAGAATGGGCACAGGGCAAAGACACCGGTTACAGCGGTTGTGTGAAGTACCACCTAAGGATCTCATAGAAAGCGTGAATGCAGCAATGAGGGCAATACCTACCACCACAATCACTGAAACCAATGAGCTGATATACACTTCAGCAGCAATGATCCTAGAGAATCTTGGCTATAAGAGCAACCATGGGAGCCATGGACAATACCCACCATGGAAAAGACGATTGGAGGCGAAGATCAAGGCGGCTCGGAGAGAAGTGAGTCAATTAACAGAGGCCCAGAGAGGTGCAATGAAAGAACCAGCTGCTGAGAGATGGGACTCACCCAGAATGGCTAACCGAAGGGCGAACGGTCCTGATCATGAAGGACCCTGTCAAGGGTGCAGTCCCCTCCAACTACCGGCATATGGAACAATTCATGAGCACAGCACAGAAGGGCATTGGTAGAGACACCAGAGGAGTCAAACACCAGCTCCTGGTTGACAGAACAGTCGCCCAAGACTGCCGGTCACGACACACCAACCTGTGCACAGCCTGGATTGATTACCAGAAAGCCTACGACTCAATGCCACACACATGGATCATGGAATGCTTGAAGTTGTACAATATCAACATAGCTCTAAGGGACTTGGTTGCAAACTCGATGGGAATGTGGAAGACCACCCTTGAGGCAAATGGCAAGCCGCTCGCAGAAGTGACCATCAAATGTGGTATCTACCAAGGAGATGCTTTGTCCCCACTACTGTTCTGCATAGGCCTCAATCCTCTAAGCCAAGTAATTGACCAGACTGGCTATGGATACCGCCTCAGGAACGGAGCAAAGATCAGTCACCTCCTCTTCATGGATGACATCAAGCTGTACGCCAAGAGCAAGAGAGACATCTCTGATCCAAACAACCAGGATCTACAGCCATGACATCGGGATGTCATTCGGACTCGAGAAATGTAGCAGGATGGTGACTCGGAGAGGCAAGGTAGTCCACACAGAAGGGATCTCACTCCCAGAGGGAACAATAGCAGACGTTGAGGACAGTTACAAGTATCTCGGTATACCACAGGCAAATGGCAACCTCGAACAGGTGACGAGGAAAGCGGCAACTGCCAAATACCTCCAGCGAGTAAGGCAGGTCCTAAGAAGCCGGCTCAATGGCAAGAACAAGGCCCGGGCAATTAACAGCTACGCCCTGCCAGTGATCAGATACCCTGCAGGAATAATCAGGTGGCCAAAGGAAGAGATTCAGACCATGGATGTTAAAACTCGAAAGCTCCTTACCATGCATGGCGGGTTCCATCCCAAATCCAGCACCCTGAGACTGTACGTAAGCTGTAAAGAAGGAGGCCGAGGACTAGTGAGTGTGAGAGCCACTGTCCAGGACAAAACATCCAAACTCCATAACTACATCATGGAGAAGGCCAAAACGGATGACTTACTCAGTGAATGTCTCAGGCAGTGGCGAGATGAGGCGGTGCTGGAGGAGAGCCCATCATGGGAGAACAAGCCCCTACACGGCATGTACCACCGGAGCATAACAGAAGTGGCTGATCTCAAGAAGTCCTACCAATGGCTAGAAAGGGCTGGCCTACAGGACAGCACAGAGGCACTCATCATGGCTGCACAGGAACAGTCCCTGAGCACCAGAGCGATAGAGGCCCAGATATACCACACCAGACAAGACCCAAGGTGTCGGTTGTGCAAAGAGGCACCTGAGACGATCCAACACATAACTGCAGGGTGCAAGATGCTGGCAGGGAAGGCCTACATGGAACGCCATAACCAAGTGGCTGGCATAGTGTACAGAAACATCTGTGCAGAGTATGGGCTGGAAACTCCAAGGTCTAAGTGGGAAACTCCTCCAAAGGTGGTGGAGAATGAGTGTGCAAAGATCCTGTGGGACTTCCAGATACAGACCGACCGAATGGTAATGGCGAACCAACCTGACATAGTGGTGGTGGACAAAGGGCAGAGGACAGCCGTGGTGGTGGACGTGGCAATTCCAAGCGATGGTAACATCCGGAAAAAGGAACATGAAAAGCTTGAGAAATACCAAGGTCTCAGAGAGAAGCTGGAGAGGGCCTGGAGGGTAAAGGTGACAGTAGTGCCCGTGGTGATCGGTGCACTCGGGGCAGTGACCCCGAAGCTAGAAGAGTGGTTACAGCGGATCCCTGAGACAACCTCGGACATCTTGGTCCAGAAATGTGCAGTGCTAGGAACAGCAAAGATACTGGGCAGAACCCTCAAGCTCCCAGGCCTCTGGTAGAGGACCCGAGCTTAGAGAGGGATAACCGCCCGGAGGGCCAAAGGTGAGTGGACAATTTATATATATATATATATATATATATATATATATATAATAGTGATTTCTAGCTCGTAGTGTGAAAAAAGTTAAATTAACTGAACTTTGAACTAGTTCAATTAAAATTGTGAACTTTGAACGTGAACTGTTCACTTTGAGCATGTTTGAACTGAACTTGTGCCAGTTCACAACTTTTCTGAACTAGTTCAACACTGTTGGTCCATAGGAAGTGGGATGACGACTGTCCAGAAATGTTAAGAAATTTGCAGAAATGTCCTGGATCATCACTGTCCTTACCCGCTTCTGCATCAGAGAGGAACCAGGCTGTAGTGTGGATCCAGGACTGAGGCTGTAGATCCTGGACTGAGGCTGTAGATCCAAGACTGAGGTTCAATCGTGGCTCATATGCAAATGTGACGAGCAGGCCTGTAGAACCAGCGGAAGAGACACGAGAGAGAGAGATATTATAAAGAGCAAGAGAGGGACTAGAGAAAGAGACCAGAGAGAGAACAACGTTGAAGCATGTCTGTGGCTTGTGTGCACCATGATTAGAAAAGTGTGTGTGAGGGGTTTTACAGCCTTAAATCATACAAATGCTTCTTAAAGGATGTAACTTATTTTGGCTACTTTTAAAAAACTTGACCAGGGACCACTGTAATCTACATATAAGAAAAACAATTGCATACACAAATGAAACTATCTTTGGCTTGCATTATAACTGTGGTGAGGAATGTGTAGCATAAGCATTAGCACTTCTCCCTGAGAGCACAGACTGGAGTCTGACTGTAGAAAGTTTAATGAAGAGATCTGGTTTGAAACTGAGCCTGCTAAATGACTTTACAGTGGCCTCCAAAGCTCTGCCTCTCCCTAACGATAAAGCTGAGGTCAAATAAGGACCGATGCTTTAGCGCTCTGGTGTTTGCTCAATATCATATTTATCTCTAATTATGAATATATACTCGACAAAAATATAAACTAAACACTTTAGTTTCTGCTCCCATTTTCCATGAGATGGACTTAAAGATCTAAAATTTATTCCAGATACACAATATTATCATTTATCTCAAACTTTGTTCACAAATCTGTCTAAATGTGTGATAGCGAGCACTTCTGCTTTGCTGACATAATCCATCCCACCTCACTGGTGTGCCACATCAAGATGCTGATCTGATGTCATGATTAGTGCACAGGTGTGCCTTAAACTGTCCACAATAAAAGGCCACCCTGAAATGTGCAGTTCTGTCTCACAGCAAAATGCCACAAGCATTGAGGGAGTGTGCAATTGGCTGACAGCAGGAATGTCAACCAGATCTGTTGCTTGTGCATTGAATCTTCATTTCTCCACCATAAACTGTCTCCAATTTCGTATCAGAGAATATGGCACAGTGCATCCAACCGGCCCCACAACCGCAGACCACGGGCTGGGCGATTTAAACGGTATAAGCGGTATGTGATAAAAATGTGGCCAACAATAGAGATTTTTGTTATACCGGCCTATTGCGATAGGCCCCCGTGCAATTTGATGACCTAACGGAGTCCCTCCTAGGTACTGGAACCTGGTGGGACTTGAGGTTAACCCGGCGCCGATTGGCAATCTGAGCTGCCACCCAAGTCTTAATATATAAATGAGTAATAATCTTGACTATTTTATGCAAGAACTTGCAAGACCTATTGAAATCCACACGCCAAATTATACCGCAATATATACAGCTGACCGTCTGTGTCCCAAATTATACCACAATATGAATTATATGAATTATAGGAAGGGGAAGAAAATGGATGGATGGATGAATTATAGGCCATTTCGCCCACCCCTAACACTAGCCCAGGACCTCCACATGCAAGATCGTCTGAGACCAGCCACTGAGACAGCTGCTGAAACAATTGGTTTGCATAACCAAACAATTTCTGATCAAACTGTCAGAAACCATCTCAGGGAAGCTCAACTGCATGCTTGTCGTCCTTGACCTGACTCCAGCTCGTCACTGTAACAGACTTTACATGGTGGCGTCTGGCATGTAGGAGAGGTGTTCTCTTCACGGATGAATCTCTGTTTGCATTGTTCAGGGCAGATGGGAGACCGCGTGTGTGGCATCGTGTGGGTGAGCACTTTGCTGATGTCAATTTTGTCGATGGAGTGGCCCATGGTGGTGGTGGGGTTATGGTATGGGCAGGCATCTGTTATGGTCAAAGAACACAGGTGCATTTTATTGATAGCATTGTGAATGCACAGAGATACCATGATGAGATCCTGAGGCTCATTGTTGTGCCATACATCCATGAACATCACCTCATGTTTCAGGAAGATAATGCACGGCCCCATGTTGCAAGGATCTGTACACAATTCTTTGAAGCTAAAAATGTCTCAGTTCTTGCATGGCCAGCGTACTCACCGGACATGTCACCCATTGAGCACGTTTGGGATGTGCTTGACCGGACAATTGACAATCTGATGAAATCTATGCGAAGAAGATGGGTTGCACTGCATGAGGCAAATGATGGTCACACCAGGTACTGACTGGTTCTGAGTTTCCAGACCCCCAATAAAGCAAAATAATACACATTTCAAAGTGGCCTTTTATTGTGGACAGTCAAAGGCACACCTGTGCACTAAACATGATGTCAGATCAGCATCTTGTTGTGTCACACCTGTGAGGTGGGATGGATTATCTCAGCAAAGCAGAAGTGCTCACTATCACACATTTAGACAGATTTGTGAACGTTTGAGAGAAATGGTAATATTGTGTATCTGGAATGAATTTTAGATCTTTAAGTCCATCTCATGGAAAATGGGAGCAAAAACAAAAGAGTTGCGTTTATATTTTTGTGTAGGTTAAGTTTAATATGAGACAGTAAAACCATCAAAGCAAAGACATACGATATGGACTGGGAAAAGAAGTTCGTAGGTTAAAAACATAAATAGAGCAGATATGAGGAATGGTCTGGAGTGTGAAATCACTAGAGCTGAAACAATTCCTCGAGTTACTCGAGCAATTAGAGTATGAAAAATATTTCAGGAATTTCGAGTTTCCTTGTTTAGTAAATTGTCGTCAAAGCTAACATTGGGCCTCATTCACGAACTTCTTAAGAAACTTCTTACATTTCTTCAAGTCGTTCTTAAGTAGATTTCTAAGAAGACCCTACGTGGGATTCATCAACGCGCTCGTAAGGCGTTGAATTGTTCGCAGCTGTTGCCTTTTTAAGTCGAAATATTATGAAAGTAAAACTTGTAAAATTATGTGATTAATCTCAAAATATTTTGAGATGAATTTGAAAATATATTATGTATTAATTTTAAAATGAATCTCAAAATGTTGTGAGATTAATCTCAAAATATTTTGGACCCTGGGAGGAGATCCAGCGTGTGAGACCAATGGAGACCCGAGGAGGGACCATAGACTGGAAAGACCAGCACACAGAAACCAGCATGGACCGAGGAGAGACCGTAGACTGGAGAGACCATAGACTGGGAAGACTGGCGCGCAGAGACCAGCGCGGACCGAGGACAGACCGCATTGACTGGAGAGACCATAGACTGGAGAGACCATAGACTGGAGAGACCATAGACTGGGAAGACTGGGGCGCAGAGACCAGCGCGGACCGAGGACAGACCGCATTGACTGGAGAGACCATAGACTGGAGAGACCATAGACTGGAGAGACCATAGACTGGAGAGACCGGCTCGCAGAGACCAGCGCGGACCAAAGAGAGACCGCATATAGACTGGAGAGACCAGCGCGGTCCTGTAATGGATCCATGGGAGAGACCAGCGCGGATCCATATAGATCCATGGGAGAGACCAGCACAGAGGGTCAGCGCGGACCCCGCAACCTCCTGCAGCAGCAGTATATACTGTATGCCATTGTTCTGTGGCCTGTGGATAAAGAAATGTCCCCTATAAATAGGATGGGGTCACTAAAACACGGCATGATTTCCAATATATTTTATTAAGCGTTGGCACATTTCATTTAAAAATGAATTTAAAAATAGGCTAAATTACCATAAACATTTAAATAAATAAATACGTACATCAATATGGCAGACATATCACTGAAATGTTGTGTTTTATTGAACTTCACAAAAGAATACAACACCAGCGTGCGAACGTGTCGGCACTGATGTACGTAAGAGTGCTCCTGAGCATTCGTAGGATTTGTACTTACCCAAGAGAAATTCTGGTCACGAGAAAATTTTGTGAATGCCACAAACTTCGTAAAATCCTCGTAAGTAGGATTTACGCACAAATTTGTTCTTAAGAACCGTTCGTGAATGAGGCCCAATGTGTTTATCTCACAGATTCTCTGTACTACACAGCGCTGGTCTTTTAAATACTTGCTTCGCTTGTATTTGTAAAACTTTTTTTCCCACATAGCTCCATAGACAAACATAGCTCACAATGGAAGATGACACAGAAAGTGGAAACAGCCACAACTAAACGGGGGAATTAAGAAGCGTCACAACTTTCCAAAGTGTGACAACACTTATACACGATACACACCCGCATATGTACAGGGCAACACTTCACACTAAAATCAAGGGTAAACACAGTAGTACGCTAAAACTGCAAGATGGAGCTAGCATACCACAATTAGGGGTGGGAACCTAAGGGTACCTCACGATACAAAGCTCACGATAACTGATATATTGGTCAGAAATATACAATATGCCAATTTATGGCATAAATAAAAGAAAAAATACTCTTTATTTCATGATAAATAGAATGGAGATGCGTAATGTAGCCATATATTAAGTATTGATACCAATTCAAAAAAAAAAAATTGATATTGATACTTGGCAAATGCATATCGATAATCGAATCGCGGGAGAAAGTATCGCGATATATCTAAAAATCGATATATCGTCACACCCCTAACCACAATAGTGGTGATGGGTGAATGAAGCCCAAGGCCCTGCAATTAATGATGGCAGCGTATTCAAATCATTGTCTTGTGGCGCATGAAGCTAAAAAAGTGTGAATTCTCTGCCTCCCCACTTCCCCGCACGAACATTTGGACATGCGCAGTAGCCAAGAACCAACGTAAATAACAATGTTGGCGGGTCAACAAAGGCTGTGCTTCGAACGCTACACGGAGGAGAATTCTACTTGTCCGTTGTTGTGCGTGATCAAAAATTCCTTATGAAAATGACTCTAACTCAGAAGGTTTAAATCAAAAAGGTTTTTCCCTAATACAAGAGTTCCAATACAAAAAACACTATACTATCTATTTGCCTATTTCTAATCATGACCTCTCTCATGCCTGCTAGTCTACCTCATAGTGCGAGAATCACACAAAAGACTTGAGGATCCAGTCTCTGCCCCCTTCACCTCTGGGCTGAAGAGTTCCAGAAGGCTTCTTCGTGTGTCCGCAACATCTCCCGGCCAGACACAATCCATCCCAAGCTTTCAAACATAAGGGGTTAAATTCACTGATTAATTATAAAGAAGGCTATGGATGGGGAAAGGAGTATATTCAAAGAGTGTAAACAGTGATACATTCCTTAGCTAGAAGAGAACACCTGGTTAAACAAGAGTATAGTTCAAACATTAGTATAATGTCATGTCATTTTCTACCCCTTTATTAATCCATTTCTGGGTCGGGGGGGGTGGCAATCAGAGCTGCCACCCAAGTCTCATAGCTCCAGTCCCTCGCTGATCGTCCTGCCGGTGGTAGGTCCATAGGATGATGGCTTCCCCGTCTTCGACGAGATGATTGTGGGGTTAAGTGTCTTGCCCGGGGACACAACAGCAGACATCAGTGGGAGCAGTTGACATGGGTTGTGGTGGGCTTGAACCCACAACCATTAGGTCCAAAGATCAACTGAGCTACTGTGAGCCCATTATGCCGTTTTTCCACAGTGTCAGTTCAGTTCATTTCGGTACGGTACGGCGCACCTATTTTGGTTTTCCACTAGTGGATGGAATGGGAGTACTTTTCCGTACTGCCTCAGCCGTGGTTCCATCCCCATGTTACCCGTGCCATGACGTCACGGAGTGTCGTCACTGGAAGCGGCATCTGACCCTTTGGGAAAAACAACTCAACCGCCATCTTTAAAACCGGCTGCTCTGCTCGGCTCTGCTTCGGCTACATTACGTCCTCCTCACTCCAGAGAAATGGAATTGCACAGAAAGCCCCAAAAGTCCTGGTCCTGGTCGGTGGAAGAGGTCCACACGTTCCTCTCTTCAGGCCAAAAGAAAGAATTAAAAGGCAGCTCGAGGCTCAACACAGTTTTCAGGAGATCACCCAGCTCAGGATTTGTGACTAGTCTGTGGTAATCGTGAAATAACTGGTTAGCTACGAACCCCCTAAAGCTCTCACTGAAATGTGTTTACTGTGTAAATGCTCGATTGTCTGTTGTACACAGTGAGCTAGCTACATTTAGCTTCATTTAGCTATCGATAGCAGCTAAGCTAACGTCCTCCCTGTGCTACTGTGCTTTATCTCGTATTATCTGCAGTATTCATGTGTTGTCATTCTGTTTTGTGCTTGTATTTAAGTTGTTGTGTGTATATTTGTATGAGAATCTCTTCCCATAAGTGTGGAGATTACCAACGAGTAATGAGTGACCGGAGTATTCTCATCTGGACCTGGTCTGGACCTGGTCTCTGACATACGTACATACGACTTTGTAAACTGTTGGTTCTGCACTTTACTTTTGTTTTCAATAAATCTGTGATTGTATCCCAAGACTGTGTTTCATTCATTTATTATTATTGTAGCTGAGGTTTGGGTATCGATTGTTTGTCTGGTCTCGGAGTCTGCTGTAGTCCAGACCCGAGTCCGGACTAGCCTAGCTTAGCCTAGCTTAGCCGCTAACTCGCTACTCCTATGGCTGCCGCTGTCCCTCCCTCGGTCCTTTACTGCTCGAGTTGCCATATGACGAGTTTAAACCCTGGATCCTCTTCTGAGGGCAGTGATAGATGTGTTAAGTGTGGTATAGTAGTAGCTTTGGAATCCAGGGTTAGTGAGTGAGCAGAGTCTCGAGCTAGCGCTAGCATTAGCTATAGCCTAGCAGTATCCTCAGACATGCAGCCCTCCTACTCTGCTACACAGGCTGCTGTTGCTACAGGTATGTCCCATTCAGATTGTACAGAGTAGTCAACACCATTGACTTCACAGTGTCTGAGTCATTCTTTTAAGACATAAGCATTTTCAACACTTGCTCTGGTATTATAATAAATCCATGCACCGCACCAGTACTAGTTACGCGTCACACGTAAATGACGTTGTCTGACAACGCTGAGGCATACTAGGGGGGTCTATTTTTGATGGAAAAGCACGCGAACTGGGCCATGGCGCGCCGTGTAGAGTCAAAACGTACCATACTCGGACCGTGGAAAAACGGCATTAGTCACCCCATTATATAATTCAGTTGGAAGAGCACTAGCCTTTGGGCCTGAAAGTCGTGGATTTCAGGCCTACTCCACCAACTCCCACTGATTTCTGCTGTCGTTGTGTCCTGGGGCAAGACACTTAACCCCACACTGCCTGAAGCCCCTGCTGAAAAATCAAGGCTGTATTGTCACTGACAGAGCAGCCGTCCTTCTGTGGACTCACCACCTGCTGGAGGATCAGTGAGGGGCTGGTGCTCAGTGAATTGGGTGCAGCTCTGACTGCCACCCCCCGACCCAGAAATGGATAACGGGAAAGAAGATGGATGGATGTATGGATAATATAAAGCATTCCAATATACTTATTATATGATGAATACATGATTTTCATAAAGCTATATGGTATTTATTAGATACATCACCGTCCAAACAAAACCACGTGAAGCTGTAGTTTCAGTTTCCGCGTTGACTGCTACTGTTAAATGCAGAATGTTGTTGGTGCATTCTTTCACGTCTTTGGGGTGGAGGATGTTTTTGAGGAAGTGATTATACTGGTGGGGGTTACGTGTGTTGTAAAGTTCCACTGCCCAATACTGGCCGGGTGCTAGAACTACATCTTTTCCCGTCGTCGTTTAGACGATGTGCAATGTATATTTTTAAATAAGCCTTAAACAAAAATATTATGTATTCCATTACTCGATTAATCGATCAGATGTTTTATAGAATACTCGATTACTAAAATATTCCATAGCTGCTCTAGAAATCCCCATCGTTTCTTAATGCAGAAGAAGTTGAATTGAACATAAGCTTGCTGGAGCCACTTTCCTTATATTGGCATTTGTTCAGAAAGAGTTGGCTTTGCGCAGTAACAGGGGCAGTAGACTGTTGCTAAGGCAAGCTGGAGTTTCCCCCACAAATGAAGGCATTTGATTGGTCAATTCTTAAATATCACAATATAAACACCAGGATCACAGAGAGTGCTAAACGACAGATTGAAACCTGAAATGGAAGCCAGAGAGAGTTGGAGCCAAACTTCACTATGAGCACTTCCCTATTGGGCTTCATTGAGATCTGTGTACATTCTATGGCTCAATCCTGTGTTAGCCAGGGCCTTTCTGTGTGGAGCTTGCCTGTTTCGTTCTTGTGTTTAGATGTGTTTCCCCCTGCGCTGCGGTTTCCCCTCCTGACAAGAGCATCCACACATGGCTCCACATATATAGTACTTACTGCTTGGTCAAATGCAGAGGGTCTTACATGGATGACTTCCTCTTGGGCTGTGGGAGCTTTGTCCAGTTTTTTGTTCTTCTCCTTCTTTTCCTTCCTTTTGGGGAGTGACTGTGGTATGTGCCCTGATAAAAACAGACGTTTGGAATTCAGATTCAGATTAATTTAATTGCCATTTGCAGTAAAACCACATTGGAATACATTTTTAAAAGTCCCCAGTGTGCACAAGACAAGTACCTACATAAAACATTAAAAAACTCCTGTAGAACTCGACAGACTCATTTGTTGAGAAGTCTGCAGACGAGGTCAGACAAGACGGTGAAGGTCATGGACAAATAGTTTCTAAAATACCTTGAGATATTATAAGAATTCAAGTCTATTACTAGGCATTTTGTACATCAATGTATTTTTGGTATATCTTGATATACAATATATAACATTATTTTTACAGGATAAAAACCACCCCAAATACTACTGCACATACAAACATGCCACAAACAAGCCTTTGTTTTGTATTGCAATAATTCAATTCTGTTTATATACCTTGACTGTTCACCTTGCTGCCCAGAGGGCAGCAAGGTGAACAGGTGAACCATCAGGGCTGGTGTCCTGGGCGATCCTCTGGTCTCTATCGACAACAAAGAGAGAGCGTCATCTGTCACCTACAGTCTCTCTCCCTAAAACCTTCAAATCGGGCCAGAAATCTAGGGGTAATACTAGACTCAGACTTATATTTTAATAGCCACATCAAATCAGTAACATCAGCAGCTTCTTACCACCTAAAACACATGGCCAGGATCAAAACACAGTGTCTAAAGCAGACTTGGAGATTCTTATTCATGCATTTGTCTCCAGTAGGTGAGACTTCTCTAATGGCCTGTTTACAGGTCTCTCCAAACAGGCTGTAAAACATGCAGTACATTCAAAACACAGCAGCTTTAGTCCTGACTAGAACCAGGAAGTATGATCACATTAGTCCAGTTCTCAGGTCTTTGCACTTGCTTCCTGTGGCTCAGAGAATAGACTTTAAAGGAAAACTACACACCTGTGCCCAGCCTTTCTCCACCCACATAAACATTTGAAAATTCTCTCTAAAAAGGGCGTTACCTGACCTGGAGGACCAGGGGACAAGAATGGGGGCTTGGAGTTATCATTGCTGTCTTTAAGCAATAGTTTACACACCAGAAATTCTCATTCCACCCTTGTTTACACTCACTAAGATAATTGTATAGCTAGACACCTGAGCCACAGAATTATCTCAGCAGTAGTGGCGGTCAACTGATGTAAATTCAATTTTAAACCTGTGGATGTCGCCAGAATACTCCAACTCACTACGGTGGCGTGTGTGAGACTTGGATGCTTTTATACTACAGATGCAGAGTGACGGACATCATAGAGCACTCCAGAGCCAATGGAGAGGCCAGACACCACATTTAGATGTAGTGCCAACAAAAAAGTTATAGGCTCAAAAGTGAGATTTTACCTAAATTGCACTAAAAAGTTTAAAAAATTACCAGGACATGTAGAGAGCACAGTAAGAAAAATATTTATGCAGTGTATGAGGTAAAAAAAAAGTTGATTTGGTGTTCAGTTGTCCTTTTAAATGGCTCTGCTTGTGTACAGCCATGTACCAAAGTACATTGCTGACATGTAATGGTGCTTTCAGACCGGCAACGCTGAAACACTGAAGCCTCGCTCACCAGACGCACATTCTCACATTTTCAGACGCAGAGGCCTGCACACCGCCAAACGACGCACGCACACACGCACGCCTGCCCTTACTACACTTCCGCCGGAAGTGTGAGGCGTGTGGGCGGGCTTTCCATATTCACAACAACTTAACAAGATGGCGGATCAGGCGAGGCAGCTTCATGGATCTATAGCTTGCATTCGTTTACTTGGTTCAGAGAGTTCTTGAACGACGGCGTGCACGACAGCGGCATGTCTGGGTTCACGATATCCTCCAGAGACAGTCAGAATATGGCGAGTTCCACCATTTGCTACAAGAACTGCGGCTGGATGAGGTGCGATTTCAGCGGCACTTCCGTCTCTTGTCCTTGTTCGATGACCTGTTGGGCAGCGTAGGTGCACGAATAACTCACCAGAACACCAACTACAGACGTCCCATCTCTCCTGCAGAGCGCCTGTCCATCTGCCTACGGTCAGTAATTGTGTATGTGAGTTTGTGTGTGTCTTAGTCTCTGTGTGTGTGTGTGTTTGTCTTTGTCTCTGTGTCTGTGTGTTTGTCTGTGTGTGTGTGTTTGTCTTTGTCTCTGTGTCTGTGTGTTTGTCTGTGTGTGTGTGTGTTTGTCTGTGTGTGTGTGTGTGTGTGTATGTATTGTTCATTCATATAGCGCCTTTCACAGACCAGAGTCACAAAGCACTTCTCTATTGTAATGGGACATTTGTCTCTCACTCAATGTGCACATTCAATTAATGTCTTCTTTTTATTTTTTCAGGTTCCTTGCCACTGGGGATTCGTATAGTACCATCTGGAGCAGCTTCAGGGTCGGTGTGTCCACTGTCTCCAAAATCGTCCCAGAGGTAGTTACAGCCATCTGGGACTCTCTGGTGGAGGAGTTCATGGCGGTTCCCACCCCAGACGACTGGCGCTCCATTGCAGGGGAGTTCGAGAGGCGTTGGAACTTTCCTCTGTGCTGTGGATGGTAAACATGTGTAGCCTGGAAAAATCCAGACTCACCGCTGATCCCCCGCTGGATAAAAAAATACAGAGGAGAATCATTCTGGTCTCACCAGGCTAAAACATGTGCGCATGAAGGCCCCTCCGAACGCTGGCTTATTGTACTACAAGTACAAGGGTTACCATTCCCTGGTGCTCCTCGCTGTTGTGGACGCCCAGTACCGCTTTCGCGTGGTTGACGTGGAGGACCTGCAGCACCCGACCCACTTCCTTATCTTAGTCGTATCGAAGCCAACTATGCTGCCTGAGCGGCATTGATAGGGAGGGAGGTTTTCAAAGCCCATTTCACAGAGGAAGGAGCAGTGCACTGGCAACTCACATAGTCATGTTTCCCCGAAAGAAACTGTCTGCTATTCTGTTCTTTTTCACCATTTTGTTGGTAATAAAGTAAAGTGGTAATAAAGATTTGCCTTACTTGAAGTGTCGTTTCTGTTTAATGTATGTTTTTATTTCAAATGCTTGCAGCCACTTACTAGTAGGTATTCAGTTTCAGCTAACGTGACATGAAGTAAGTTAAAAGTGTAGTTCAAAGTACCTAGTTGTGTTTTGAAACGTTATTTTCTGATCCTTTCTATTCAGCCCCAATTATGGTCAATGACAAATCAGACATTTAAATTTGGAATTGAATGTTTCACTAGTGGAAAACAAACTACCACATACTTTGATTAGTCCATTCATACCTTTTCTCTAGCAGTCATAAAAGAAAACATTTTTAGCGAGAAACCATACATTTCCCACAGCTCAGTTATGGAACGGAGGTCGGCCAAAACATGAATGGATGGATGAATGATTAAGTGAATGAATGATTAAGTTGAAATTGTTGCTACTGCAATATAATTAATAAATATATAATACAAACAATACAGTTTGTATGTACAGAAAATCAGTTAGAGGATATGTTGAATGGATGGAATAACACAATAAAACTGTGTGGAGAATATAACATTCATCTCAAGGAGATGACTGTATAGAAATATTATATGGTAAAGGGCTGCACCCACTAATTCCAAAGCCCAGTAGAAAAACTAGTGTATTGTAGTTTAGTTTATTTGTTTTGAACCACGTATTTGAAGTGTATAAACACTTGACACAAGTTAGAAGTAATTACTGAAATATAGTGGAACAGTGTAGTTCGAAAGAGTTTGAAGTACTTTTCAAAATTCCACCCCTTGCCATACACAATGTAGATTTCACTGCTTCCTTCACTTCATTAACACAATAAAATAAAAGATCAAGAATATAATTTATTTTATATATTCAAAACTGCCATCATGTAAATAAACTTTATGTACAAGTGAGTTCAGAATATATAACTGATTTTGTTCCCTAGTACTCCGCAATTGACATTACAAAAACTTTTACTGTTTGTTCGAATATGACAGATATTGGCCCCTCAACATTTATTACCCTAGTCATTTAAAGAAAATTCTTTATACTTTTATTTGGCAACATGTTTGTACTCGCCTTGTACATTATCTGAGCTGTGGAGAATTCAACAATATCAATAAGTTTGATGTGACTACCATTTCTATCTGTGCTGTAAAGGAGAAGGCAAAGAAGTACAAATTATCTTCTATCTGCTCATTTATTCTGTAATGCATGGTACTTCTACAACCACGTCTCTTAATGACAAGATGAAAAGAACCTGAGTAATGTATTTAAACAGACATAAAAGATTCACACAACTTTTATTTACAAATATGCAAGAGCACACCCCTCCTCTCATAAAGTTGGGTCGCATGGCCTCCCCGAGGTTTATATGGTGTGTACATCGCGTGATCACGTCAGCGGTGTGCGTGCTCTGTGATTGGTTGCTGCACGGGCGTCCCGAGGAAAGGTTGAGCAAAATTCATCTCCTACATGCGTCGATTTTCCGCTCCTGCTCCTTCCCTTCGACTTTCCCGCGCAGTCCGTGCGTCTCTATTGAGCAGTCCGTGCGTGCATTCCGAGACGCTCGTGCATGATCCGGTTTGAACGCGACATAAAGTTACATTTGTAAGGTTAAAACGGAGGACAGGACCGGCCGGGCCTGTTTTCTCTGTGAACCAGTGACCAAATGGAGATAATACTTCACCACAACTTCAAAGGAACCATGGGGTTCAGCCACAGGAGCATGAGGATTACGGACTCCAGACGGACCCATACATTATATGGTTATATAACACTAGACTCCCAGAGATTTAGTTTTACAGCGTAGAGACTCACGCTCTGTCTGTAGACTCTTGCTACTCATAAACTTTGACTTTTCCTGTTTTTAGCTGTGTTTTTCTGTCATTATTTTTTTATGAAACATTATTTTTTTTCGTTGTAATTCTGCATTATCAAGGCGGAGATACTAGAGATAATTCTAAAGGTAAAACTAATGTAGCCGATTTGTTTCATTTGGCAACCAACAAGTTGCTGGTCCTGGACTGGTCTGACTGCTGCTAGCAGTTAGCACTTATTAAAAAGTGAGTTAAAGGTACAAAGTTTGTGGATCCTTTTTAACAATTCTGGTGGTAAACAAACTCTTTTGGGGATTTTTTCCTCGAATTGCAGGTTATTGAGGGAGAGCAGTCAATAAGACGGCTCTGGAGAGACTTTGGAAGTCTGTGTAAAACTTTAACATGATGGTAAGAACTCACATTAATACTGTTGACAACCAGTTTATCATCTCAGTGTTTGACTCTGCTGTACGTAGTACCTAGAAGTGACCAGCGATGGGAGTGCCACTACACCTGACTATGCAACAAAGCTCCCAGAAGCCTCTGACGAGTTCACTACATCAAAAACACTCACACCACACATCAACACACACACACAAACAAACACTGTCAACCACGACTCTGAGCCTGGAGCTCTCAGGGGCCTCCTCAGAGGCCTCCTTGTTAGCACTCTGGGAGCCCCGTGACGACCCAGGAGCCTCCTCAGGAGCCTCAGGATCCAACCATGTGTCTTCCTCTGCTGTGGGGGTGGACTTAATCTGTAGGTGTCGTAAATGTGTTTGTTCTGATGTATTCGATTGTAAGGAATTTGTTCTGAATAGAAAACAATATTGACTCATGTATACTTTCCTTCTCTTCGCCTCCAGGCGATGTCCCAGTTGCGCAACAGAGAAGAAGCACATGTTGCGCGGTCACACAGCCCCCTAGGCCCTCTTTAGCTGTGAAACAGCTAACCTGATGCGTGTATCTCACCTCGCTCTTGTCACGGTAGTACTTCCTGAAGGCCTCGTCTTTGGGAATGTTTTTGGATAAAGATAAAGCAGGGGATTCTCGGAAAGTTGTCCGCTCCATCAGCTGGAAGCTTCCGTATTATTTCATGAAAAGGAATTTGATCCAAGATCGCTTTGGTGTGAAGTGTTCGACGGTTTTAATCTCTGGATCACCTGCGACACAAGAGCGGTTTATTGCAGTCATAGTTTCTAGAAGTATCTAGAATAAAACTATTTCCACTGCCTTTATTTATGTAACGACTTTTACTTTTAGTATTTAGCCACTATTCTACTGACAAATGTTTACTTTAACCTTTTAAAAAGTAAATAATAGTGGTCCTCACTCACTACATCTACCTTGTTCTGCAACTCCCACGCTGTTGTGCTTTTTTTGTGGGCAGTAATATCTGTAATTAGTTAGTATTAGTTTAGCAGTTTAGGTAGTAGTTTATAGCAGTGTTGTATAGTAGTCAAATGTTGTCTTTTTGTAAAAGTAACTAATTACTCTGCCTTTTATCTTCTTTACTTTTCTCAAGTCCTGAGACAGTGATACCGATCAGCAGGCCTTTTGTCACAGATAAATAACCAGTCTTGCTACTGAGACCTGTAGGAACAGGACCGGTGATGGTGGTGTCTCTCCAGGATGAAGGTAAAACTCTCCCAGTAGACTTTCGCTGAAGCGCCAGTAGGAAAGTCCCTCTCTGCTTCCTCTTCAGAAGATTCTTCTTCTTTGCCTTTTGCCTACAAAAACCCATGATCTGACTGAAACACAGAGGAAACAAAAACCACAATCAGACTGAAACACAGGGAACAAAAACCACACAATCAGACTGGAAAACACAGAGGTACAAAACCCACAATCAGACTGAAACACTGATGGTAACCAAACCATGATCAGACTGAACACAGAGGAACAAAACCCAACAATCAGACTGAAACCACAGAGGAACCCAAACATGATTCAGGACTGAAACACAGAGGAACCCAACCCATGATCAGGAATGAAACACAGAGGAACAAACCCCATGATCAGACTGAACTCAGAGGAACCTAACCATGATCAGACTGAAACACAGAGGAACCTAAACCCATGATCAGAATGAATCACAGAGGAACTAAACCCACATGATCAGACTGAAACACAGAGAACCAAACCCATGATAGGAATGAAACACGAGGAACCAATCCCATTGATCGGACTGATACACAGAGGAACCAAACCCAGATCAGACTGAAAACACAGAGGAACCAAACCATGATCCGACTGATACACAGAGGACCAAAACCCATGATTCAGAACTGATAAACGAGGAACAAAACCTATGTTCAGACTGAAACCAGAGGAACCGAACCCTTGTTCAGACTGAAACACAGAGGAACCAAACCCATGATCGACTGAAACAAGAGGAAACAAAACCCATGATCAGACTTGAATCACAGAGGAACCAAACCAATGATCAGGACTGAAAACAGAGAATACAAAACCCGATGATCAATGACTTGGAATCACAGCAGGGGACAAAAGTTTTGTCTCAAAGGCAGTGGTATTCATACCACAAGACTGGAAGAAGCCAAATATCAGTAGTATGTGATTCAGGCTTGGCTAAGATTCAGACTCGGGCGCAGACTCAGAGACCACTTTAGTGTTCCAGGGCATAAATCATTTGTGCACTGGGAAAAAAACAATTTTATAGCAATGAAGGAGAGGATTGGGTTCATACGAGTTTTTCTATAATGTAAACATATTTTTCATATGCGTTATATCTTTTATCTGTATGTCTTTATCATCACGGACCAACATTTATCTTTTTTAATTAGGATTTGCGCTTATGAAGGTCTTGGTTAACTCGCGATTATCGCAACTTTTTTATCTATTCTTTATGTCCGTCGAATCATCTTTTAATCTATCTTATAAACGTCACGAATTGTTTTTTGTTTTTTTTAAGTGTTAGTTTTCACACTCACACTTAATGCAAAATGTCATACAATTCTATGCTTTCATACACAGACGTTTAACGTTTTAACATTGAAGCCAGGAAAGCATTCCTCTCAATTTCTACTTCAGAGCTGGGAGCGCTGTTGCTTGCATTTTCTACCTTCGAGGCCGGGGAAAGCGACAACGTCTGTTTATCTCTTTTTTGACAATTCTCTTCATTGGTAAATTCTCTTGACCAATGAAATGCATCAGGGTAAAATCAAGGGATGAAAATTTTCTGTGATCCGCGAATTCAACTTGTTTTCTTGAAAAAGTCATTTCTGTGAAATTGTGTGGACCGCGGGGATGTTTTGCTTCGTGTACATACTTCGAAAGGAGATTCATAATCCTCCGTTGCTGACTCGGGAGAAACTGCTGGGACGCTTTGACAAAGCTCAGCGAACGCGCAGCCTAACGGGGTCATGTACGATTGCGGCAGAAAACCATCCCCAGATTGTTGCATGTGCGGGTATTGTTGGTCTTCCCGTCTTCACGGTGTCTCTCCCAAAGGGACAACCACAACTCACAGAATTAAAGCTCAGGTACCTACATTTTTGTTTGCTTGTACAATGCATGGCACAAAAGTGAAATGTTGGTGAACAAATCCAACAGAAACAATCCACTACAGTTCGTGTTTTTTAAATTTTGTCTTACTTGAAAAAACAAAAAACAAACAATAAGAGTCCTGTGAGTTATTATTTGACTTTTAGGGTCTGAGAGAGGACTTTTTAATTATTTTTTCCTCTAGTTTTTGACCTTATTGTATTGAGAAACATGTGTCTTGTGCTCACATTGTTTTTGGTTATTTTATTATCTGTCCTTGTAAGATAGTTGTTATTTTTTGTATTATTCTACTTGTAGGTTTTATAATAATTCGCTGCATTCTTATTTAAAGCCACAAATGTCAGCTCCTCAAATTCCTTTGGAATTATGTTTCTATGTTTCGAGGTTAATCATTCTGTAGGACATTTGAATTTCAGGAAATATTCAGGTTTATGTGAGGGTGGTTCTCAAGTCGGCCGTTAGGTTTTATCAGGTAATGTGTTTACAAGGTGTTGGCGGCCTTTATGCGATAATTGGTTATAAGCCCCTTCAACTGCCCTTTCTAGGGAATCAAAATCAGGGTGATTCAAAATGGAAATGCTAAGTGCGGAGTGGGGGGGTCAGTAGGGTTCTTAGTTGCGCTATCCATCAGTCTTGACAAGAGCGGTGACTGGAGGATGGAGTTGGCCATCAGCCCGTGTGTTTGGGCCATCATGTGGTTAAGTCAAAGTGGTGTCTACGGCGAAACTGGTTCACACCGCAATACACACAGGATAAACTTAAGTCTTGTCATCTAGCAATCTTTTTCGCTACTAGGCGATCCCTCAGAACTTGTCCATTTCGGCATTTCACGCTAGACATACAGTCTCTTTTTCACAGTAGTGTTTTTAACGCTGACTAACAGGAACTACAATACTGAAGGTTGGTCACACATATCAATAGGTGTGATTTTTTTAAAATTACAGCGTTCATATTGATTTGCGTAACGCGTTAATATTTGACATCTGTGATATATCTATATTAGTGTTGTCCCCCCGCCCACAATTCCCTACGCTTAGTGTTTGGGTTTGTGTTTTGCTTGTTAGCCTTGTTTACCCTGCCTCGGTCGCTGTTGAAGAAAGGTTTGTCTAGCAATGAGTTCAAAATGTTGCCATAACTGAAGTTATGTCGTCTGAACTAAAGTTTTCTGAGTGTATTGATGGGGTGTGGCTAGCTTTAGTTATCCACCGTAGCACATCCCACTACCATGGCTGATGCAAACTTCCTCCGCCACGCTCTTGTCAATGAATTATGGGATTGCGCATACTGACTGAGAACAAAGTGTTAGGCACTTTGTTACTTTATTGTTATCACCCTGTTTGATCCCTTAGAAAGGGTAGTTGAAGGGGATTTTTACCAATTATCGCATAAAGGCCGACACACATGGTAAAATATACCTGCCCCCCCCCTTTAAACCTACGGCCGACTTGAGACCCTCTCCTCCAAATAACCGGATGTTTTCCTGAATTTCATATGTCTACAGAATGGATTATTCTCGTAAAACATAGAAAACATAATTCCAAAGAATTTGAGAGCTGACATTTGTGGTTTAAATAAGAATGCAGCGTTTTATTATAAACTTCAGTCGATATAATACAATAATAATCCAACTTCTACAAAGGAAGATAATAAATAACAAAAACAATGTGAGAACAAAAACCATGTTTCTCATACAATAAGTCAAAAATCTATGTGGAAAAAAAAATATTTTAAATGTCACTTCTCTCAGCCCTAAAAGTCAAATAATTACTCACAGGACTCTTTTTTTGTTTTTGTTTTTTCATGTAAGCAAAATTTTAAAAAACACAATGTTGTGGTTTGTTCTGTTGGATTTGTTCACAAACATTTCACTTTTGTGCATGCATTGTCAATGCAAACAAAAATGTAGGTTACCTGAGCTTTAATTCTTGAGTTTTGGTTGTCCTTTGGAGGTGGACACGGGAGTGACGGGTGAAGGTCAAACAATACCGCATCATGCAAACAAGCGGGGGGAAAGATGGGATGGTTCTGTCCGCAAATCGGTACATGACCCCTTATGGCTGCGCGTTCGCTGAGCTGTTGTCAAAGCGGCCACAGTTTCTCCCGAGGTCAGAACGGAGGACTTGATCCGTTCGAGTATGTACAGCAAACATCCCGCGGTATCACATTTCTCAGAAATGGACTATTTTCAAGAAAGAAGTTGGATTCGCGGTTCCCACAGAAAATTTTCATCCTGGTTTCCTGTGCATTTCATTGTCAAGAGAATTTACCAATGATGAGAATTGAGTCAATAAAAGGATAACAGACGTGTCCGCTTTCCGGCCTCGAAGGTAGAAAATGCACAACAGGCTCCCACTCTGAAGTAGTAATGAGGGATTGCTTTCCTGACTTCAATGGTTTAAGACGTTAAACGTTGTGTTATGACAGCTTGAATTGTATGACATTTTGCTTAAGTGTGAGTGTGAAATCTAACACTTAATAATTCAAAAACAAATTTGTGACGTTATAATTGATGTAAAAATGATGATTCGACGGACTTAAAGAATAGATAAAAAAGTTGCGTTAATCGCGAGTTAACCATGACTTCATGCGCATAATCCTAATTAAAAAAGATAATTGTGGTCTCAGTGTGATAAGACTTACAGATAACAAGATTTAGACGCATATGAAAATAATATTGTTTACATTATAGAAAAAGCTCGTATGAACCCAATCCTTACTTCATTGCTATAAAATTGTTTTTTTTCCCAGTGCTTCAAATGATTTGCCTGGATCACTATAGTGGTCTCTGAGTCTGCGCCCGAGTCTGAATCTTAGCCAGAGCCTGAATCACATATACTGATTTTGGGCTTCTTCCAGTTTGTGTATGAATACTCTTTTGAGACAAAACTTTTGTACCTCTGTGTTTCAGTCTGATCATGGGTTTTGTATCCTCTGTGTTTCAGTCGGATCATGGTTTGGTTCTCTGTGTTTTCAGGTCTGATCTTGGGTTTTGTTCCCTCTTATGGTTTCAGTCTGGATCATGGGTTTGGTTTCCTCTGTGTTTCTGTCTGATCATGGGTTTGGTTGCCTCTGTGTTTCAGTTGATCATGGGGGTTTGGTTCCTCTGTGTTTCAGTGGATCATTGGGTTTGGTTCCTCTGGGTTTCAGTTGATCATGGGTTTGGTTCCTCTGTGTTTCAGTCTGATCATGGGTTTGGTTCCTCTGTGTTTCCGTCTGATCATGGGTTTGGTTCCTCTGTGTTTCAAGTCTGATCATGGGTTGGTTCCTCTGTTTTCAGTCTGATCTTGGGTTTTGTTCTTGTGTTTCAGTCTGATCATGGGGTTTGGTTCCTCTGTGTTTCAGGTCTGATCATGGGTTGGTTCCTCTGTGTTTCAGTCTGATCATGGGTTTGGTTCCTCTGTGTTTCAGTCTGATCATGG